GTGTCAGTCATGGGATGTTCTCAAATAACAACTCTGAAGCAGACACAGGAGAGAGGGTTTTTTTTCTGGGGGGCGGGATTTGTCACTCAAAAACATCTCTCCCCAGGGGGAGACAATTACTTGGACCTACAAGTTTACACTTCCCAACTGGCTTGAGTTCATAACAGGGGAGCTGAGACATCTGGAAATGTGGGGTCGAAGAACTGACATCTGTAGTCCCTGCCACACGGCAGGAAAAAAACCGGGCAAAGTGCGGCTTTTAAAAGCCGCACCAAAATAGAGACGCCGCGGCAGGATCCCACGAATCCCCTGAGCCGCGGCGCCGTTGCTCCCCGGCACGATCAGATGCCAGGGAGGAAGCGACAGTCGGGAGGGGGAGGCTGCCGAACTGCGCATGTCTGAGCATGTGCAGTTCGGCCAGGAGCCAGGGATGAAAGGGCGGAAGGACGCGCCGGCGATCCCACAGCCGGCCTTGATGCGCCCTTTCTTGAAGAACCACCTAGGTAGGTGGTTTATTTTTGATGCGGGGTTTTGGGTGGAAGGGCCGGATCGGGAATGGGCGCGCCACACTTCCCAGATGTTGCTGTGGGATCGTGCCCATTTGCTGCAGCCCCGATCCGTCCCTCTCCCGGCCCAAAACCTCTCGTGTGACCGGGGCCTGTAAAGACCGGACTTTCCCTGGTGCCCAATAACTCCGATTCCAAAATTGCCTTCTTAGACACTCACAATTGCCCTCTGGAGGCCATCAGGGATGTGTCTGGATTGCATCAAACAACTCAAACAGCTGTTGCACAAGTTTGCAGCTGCCTGCTGATCAGAAGACAACTCCCAGCTGATCGGGAGATCTGCTGGAAGTCAGGTTCTGATCCACCAGCCCCCTGAGCAAAATAGCTACTATACAGTGACGTTGCAAAAGGCAGATCCTTTCTCTTCCCTGCCAAACTGGACAGAGATAGAAGCAATGCAAAAGTGTGAGGAAAAAGAGATTGTTTTGCTCCTTTTCTCTGCAGCCCAAGCGAGCAGCTTGGCGTGGAGAGAAGAGAAGAATTCTGTTTCTTTCTCCCCACCCCAAACTGAGAGCTTGGTCTGCAAAGCACTGAAGGGACATCCCCTTTTTCTCTAAGGCAGGGCTGTCAATAGGGCTGCCAAGCCGCGGTGGGGGATCTGTGCGTCTTCACAGGATCCCTGCTGTGGGGGACAGCGATACGCGTTGCACCGCTGTCGCCAGGATGTGACGCTACGCGTCACTCTGGCAACGGGGCTGTTTGGAGTCCCGTTGCCAGAGCGACACATAGCGTCACATCCTGGCAACGGCGGTGCAACGCGTATCGCTGTCCCCCGCGGCAGGGATCCTGTGAAGACGCACGGATCCCCCGCCGCGGCTTGGCAGTCCTAGCTGTCAAACATGCAGCCTGGGGGCCAAATCAGGCCCCCGGAGGGCTTCTGTCAGGCCTGCAGTGGAACTGGCTGTCTTCTCCTTCTTATTCCAGTTCTGCTGCTGCTGCATCATCATCATAGGTTTACAGTTTACAGATACACACCTGAACAGCATGCTCAAGATTGCAACACCACAGACGTTTTGATGCAATAATTCAGAGCAAGAGGTGTCAGTTATCAGACACTGTTAAGTACAATATTGCAAGAGTGCTGATGTTTTAAGCATGCTTTTATTTTAAGGGAGGAAAAAAAGCCCTTTGTGTTTGTGTCCTTTATAAAGTTTATATCTCCGCTACCTGGCAATACATTTTATGACACAAAGATCTCATTTATGTCAGATCTGGCCCTCATAACAAATGAGTTCGACACCCCTGCTCTAAGGGACCTTACCCCCCCCCCAAAAAAAACCCCAACCCTGTCCTGCAGGCAACAAACATTTAAAGAAAACATGATAGAATCTCATGTCTACCATTTCCCCCTGAATGTAATTAACTCTAAAAGGCCCTGAACTGGATAGCCCATTCTAGCCCATTGCCTGTCAGATCTCAGAAGCTAAGCAGGGTCAGCCCTGGTTAGTATTTGGATGGGAGACCTCCAAGGAAGTCCAGGGTCACAATGCAGAGGCAGTCAAACCCTGGTTAGGAGCCAGTTTGGTGTAGTGGTTAGGAGTGCGGACTCTAATCTGGGAGAACTAGGGTTTGATTCCCCACTCCTCCCCATGAAGCCAGCTGGATGACCTTGGGTCAGTCACAAGTTCTTTCAGAGCTGTTCTCTCATGAGCAGTTTTTCTCAGAGCTCTCTCAGCCCCGCCTACCTAACAGGGTGTCTGTTGTGGGGAGAGGAAGGGAAGGAGATTGCAAGCCACTCTGAGACTCCGAGTGAAGGGCGAGGTATAAATCCAATCTCTTCTTCTTCTTCTTCTTCTTCTTCTCCTCCTCCTCCTCCTCCACCTCCTCCTTCTTCTTTAAGTAACCTCTGATCATCTCTTGAAAACTCTGTGGGGTCACCAGCTGTGACTTGATGGCACTTTCCACCACCGAAAGGCCCACCTAAAAAGAATGGCCTTGCATCACTTACAGAAGGTGGAATAGCTCAGGAGCCCCCACACCTTCTTGGAGGGAACATTCCAACATTACTGAAAAGGCTTGAACCTGTGCTGCTAAAAGACAGTTCAAAGGGAGGGCTCAAACAAACGTAGGCCCTGGGAGGATTGGAGGTGGCAAACAGGCCCATACCAAGTAAATAAGTAAAATAAATTAGGATGTAAAGACACCTCTCCAGACAAGCAATCCTTATTAAAGGTGCATGTGCAATAAATGCATACATTCAGTGATACTGTTGTGCCTGATGGACATCAGTTAACTCCTTAATGTCCCCTCCGGTTCTGAATGCTCCCCAGGATATGAAGGTCAACTGTGTATGGCCCATCATTGTGCTAGAATGTTGTGCAAGGGAAATTAAATGAAATCCCAATATGTTCGTAGGCAAGCAGTTGGGTGACAGCATGTACAAGCAGAAGAGATGGGGCTGTGGGTCAGTGGTAGAGCATCTGCTTGGCATCCAGAAGGTTCCCGGTTCAATCCCCAGCATCTCCAGGTAAAAGGATCAAGTAGGGGGTGATGTGAAAGACCTCTGCCTCAAGACCAGTGTTCCCTCTAAGCTGAGTTATTGTGAGCCAGCTCACAGTTTTTTAGCCTCCGGCTCACACATTTTTGTGTTAGCTCAGGAAGGAGGGCTCCAGAGCAAAGTAATTTATGCAGTAACCAAAGTGCTCACTCACAACTTTAATGCCAGTAGCTCACAAAGTAGAATTTTTGCTCACAAGACTCCACAACTTAGAGGGAACATTGCTCAAGACCCGAATGAGCTGCTGACAATCTGAGTAGACATTAACTGAGTTTGATGGTCCAAGGATCTGGTTCAGTATAAGGCAGTTTCATGTGTTCAAGATAATTGTTCTAGAACACATCTATCATGGCGCTACATGGACCCATGTTTAGGATCTTACTCATATTTCTTACTTTTTCCTTTTTATATATAAATACAAAGAGTGTTTCATCAGCTCCTTCATTTCAGAGTGATATAGTCATTTGGTTAGCTGCTTTACTGGATTACCATTACATTCAACCAGGTGGTCAAGTGACCTACAGAAGCCCATGTGATTTGGGCAGGTGGTCTACAAAGTCATCATGCAAGTAGAGATCAGGGCTAGATAAGGGGTATACAAAGTAGCAAGCAGGTGAAGAGAGAGGAGTCCCGTAGCCAGATTTTTTGGGTTGGTGGGGCATGGGGAAATTTTGTGTGGCGGAGGGGGAGGAGGGAGAGAAGAGAGGCAGCCACCCACCTTCCCTGAACTCCAAGCAGCAAAATCGCCACTTGGAGTTCAGGAAAGGCGTGCAGCTGGCAGCTGCCCCTCTCCCACCCCTCCTGCAAGATTTAAAGGGCTCGCTGATCAGCTGAAGGGCCCTTTAAATCTTGGAGGAGAGGAAGGAGAGGGGCGGCTACAAGATTTAAAGGGTCATCCAGCTGATCAATGGGCCACATGCTCATTGGGCCAATCAGCTGAAGGGCCCTTTTAATGTCACAGGAGGGGAGGGGGGACAGCAGCTGTTGTAGGGTGTGCCTCACATTTGAGGAGGCAGAGCCCCGAAATGTCCCACTGTAGCTACGGGCCTGGGAGAGAGAAAACTATACGGTACTTGGCTTCCATAATGAGATACTCCCCCCCCACGCACACACACACAAAGACGCTATTTAAAGAGGTGAAATCTGTGCGCAGTGCACAATTCCTGGGCAAGCATGACATTAACTTTAAATGTTTCAAAACACAAAATTGGATAATAATCTAGAATGTTCTCATTTTCTGCACTTGACAATGCCATGCTGAACAGAGTTACACCTATCTGGGTCTGTTGAAGTCAGTGGGCTTAGAAAGGTGTGACTTTGGCTTTGGACAACACTGAGAGTTCAGTTCTGCTCAGCCGGTACTTCTGGGCTGTCACCACCGAGGGATGTTGTCTCCATCTATAAATTCCCAAGGCTTGACTGGAGCCCTCGTAATCCCATCTTTCTCTCGGCTGTGATTATTGCATAAAAAAAGCATGTAGAATCGCTTTTCCGCAAAGCTTGAAACGATGACAACCCGAGTCGGAGCTCGCTTTCAGCGCGGCAGAGATTTGTGTCTAATTATTCAAAGGAACAATCTCTCTTTCTCTCATCTCGCTTCCACTCTTAATTAAGCGTTCCCGATGATACCTCAGATCTGAAAGAAAAACAATCGGGGATAAGGGGTTTTTTTGGGGATGTAAAAAAAAAACACCACGCAGCATCCGACTTTGGTGGTAACGAGACGGTAGACATCTGACTCGCGTTTGTTCTTTCGCTCTCTCACATGTCTCCGAAAATCAAGGGGAATGTTAACATCTTTCCTGTCTCGCCGATCAATCTGTTGAAAAAAGTGCCGAAGGATGGCATCTTGATACAAGAGCTCGCTAACGGAACTGTTGATTCCATATGTCGCTGTCACAAGTCTAACGATATTCTCTTTACTTTTTGTTTTTCAGTGGAGCATCCCGACAAAATGGCTAATGACCAAGGTAAGGAGCCATGCTGAGTCCTGCTTTCTCTTCGAATCAGGGCCTACTGTGGGTGCTCTACCCCCCTCCACCCCCCCTTCTCCTCCTCCTCCTCTTCACCTGGCCAGCACACCTGATGAGGCAGACACTGGCACGATAATTAATCTTGTTAATGAAGTTCTGCTCGGCTGAGGCGGCTGTTTTGATGGGGAGCGATGTAAATTTTCTTGAGAGGAAATTGTTTTGTCTCTTTTCTGAAGGACCAATTAAAATGTCAGGCTCCTTTGTATGAAATAAATTTTTTCCCCTCTCTCTGCTGCACTTCTGAATAATTCACATTAAGTATAATTAAGCTTGGCATAATTTCCAAGCTGCTCTTCACACCCTTTTCGTGGGGTATAGATTAAAGTTCTGGAGCCTCACCGTAAAAAAAAAAAAAAAGGCCTACATTTCTTTAGCTATAAATCAACTCCTCTCTCAAGTTGGCACTCCTCGGTTTAATCATACAGGCAAAGTTTAGATAACTTTTCGAGGCATTATTCTTCAGCAGGGTTGTTTCTATGGTTTTCTACGTCGGGAATTGCACTTATGTTGTTTCTGTTTCTGAGCTGGTTATTTTGAGGAAGTTGATTTTTTTTCAAAGAAAGAAATAGGTGATAATCTCTTTAGACAAATTCACTTGCAATGAATGTTGCCGTCTTTGGGTTGAGGAATACCTGGAGGTTTGGGGGGTGGAGCCTGGGGAAAGTGGAGTCTGGGGAGGGGAGGGGCCTCAGCAGGTTACAATACCATTGACTCCGCCCTCCAAGACAGCCATTTTCTCCAGGGGAACTGACCTCTATTGCCTGGAGAGCAGTTGTGATTCCAGGAGATCTCCAGTCACCACCTGGAGGTTGGCAACCCTGCTTGCAAGTCAGGATAACTTCTTGACTCCAGCCATTTTCTTCTCATGGAAGGGACAATGTCCTTCCCATCTTATCTCTTTTCAGCTTTTATACGGAGCCAGCAGTGTAGGTAGTTACATTAAATGGCAGATTTTGGGGTATGGCACCTTCCTGTCCCCAGCCAGGAGCTGGAAGAGCTAATTTTCTTTAGCTCCTTGCTCAACAAACCCTCTTTAAAATAGCACAGCAAGCCCCACACACAGCAGTTCCCAAACTCCATATTCCTTTTTATGTAAGCTTTTGCCAAGATGGTCATCTCATGAATGTACAGGAAGCCCTATAGGGCATGTGTAATTTGGGTGAGTTTGAACTCAGATTCCTCGTGTTGGGTGATTTAGTGATGTGCACATTCTGTCCAGCACATTGGTAAACTACCATGTCATCATCTTGCACAGTCACATCAAGATGCCTTTTTTTGTCAGCACATACATGCACATTGATGAAAACATATGAGTAGGGATGGGCACAAACTGGGAAAATGCAGCTCACTTCATGGTTCATGGTTGAACCATGAACCGAACCACAAACTGAACCAGGAGGCTGGTTCACGAATTGAACTGGTTCACGGTTCATGGCAGGGAGGCACTCCTCTCCATGCAGCTGTTTCAAGCTGTCCTCTGCAGTCCCTTTAAACTTTAAAGAGACTGCAGAAGGCAGCTGCGTAGCGGGGAGTGCCTCCCTACCACGCGGCTGTTTCAAGCTGTCTTCTACAGTTTCACTTTAAAGGGACCACACAAGAGAGCACAAAAAACAGCTGTGTGGTGGAGTGTGCCTTCCCGCCATACAGCCGTTTTATGCTGTCTTCTGCAGTTGCACAAGACAGTGCAAAAAACAGTTGTGTAGTGGGGAGCATCTCCCCACCCTGCAGCTGTATTTGTGCTGTTTCATGCAGCCTTTTTAAAGTTATCAAGACTGCAGAAGACAGTCCGAAACAGCTGCACAGCAGGAAGTGCCTCCCCACCCTGCAGCTGTTTATTGTGCTGTCTTGTGCACTCCCTACCACACACCTTTTTTTATGCTGTCTCCTGCAGTCCTGTTAAAGTTTAAAGCAGCTGAGCAGCTGTATTTCGCATTTTTGCAGGGAACAGAAAACAGGGGGTTAAAGGGACTCCGAGTCCCTTTAAACCCCTGCTTTCTGCTCCATCCACAAACCACCATGAACTGCACCAATGGCTCTAAAAGGTGATGGAAGTTCATGATGGTTCTGTTCATGAACCACAAATAGGGCAGAATGTGTGGCAAATTTTGCTTTGTGGTTCAGTTCATGCCCATTCCTCCATATGAGCAGACATGTTGGATCAGAACTGTGGCCCATCTAGGCTAGTAACATCCTGTCCCATATAATGGCCGATCTGATGTCCCTAGAACAATTCCACGCAGGTCGTGGAAACCAATGCCTGTGGCTCACCCCCACCCCCCTTACTTTTGTTGAGAGATGTAGTATGTGTGAATGTAGCACAGTAGCCACACAAGGGGCAGGGCGTAGTCATTCAAGGCATCTATGGAAGGAAAGGAATCACTGCATAGTTGTCTAGGTATGCACTGCCTTGGCACACGTTACAATTTCCAAATGGCATTACAAGGCAGGCATCCCGAAAATAAATGACACATGTGTAATAATGAATAATGCTGCAGTTTAGAATATCTAGCAAAAAGTGGACTTTTATATGAGCGTTTGCAAATGCCATTCATGATGGTAGGTCTGTTTCCTATTCAAGTTGCGCAGGAGTGTCCATCTCTACTCCCCATCTTTCATGGGTAAATGGATAACTCAAGAAAAGTTCTGGATCCAGTTTCTACTGGGCATTGCCCTAGGTCTCTTTCTTATTATTAAACTTTGTTTGCTGGAAAAAAAACCCCACTGCATAACAAACTATTCTCTCCAACTCCAGCGCCCAGTTACAAATTGGCAAAACAAATATTCCTCTGTGTTTGATCTTAATAGACATTCTCGAGCATAAAGTAGATGCTATTTTCCTTACATACCTCACAGCAATTTCAAGTAAACACAAATAAGAATCAAAGGCAAGCTTCTCTATCATTTGGGTGACAGCGCGGCTAATTTTCCTGCCCACACGGTATCCGCATAATAAACTGAGGTTTTCAAAAAGCAAAATGTTACAAGAACAAGGGGGAGCAGGCCTGAAAAATTGAGATGAACTTTTAAAGGCAATTATGGTTGTTGCCTCAGACAAACTGCACTAGAGAGAGGAAAGCGAGAGGTTCAAAATGAAGAGGAATGAGCCAGAGAAACGTGATCCTTGGATGAATCTGAAATGGGGTACGGAGACCTTGTCAGAAGTTTGTGAATTTGGCTGAAAGTGCCATCAAGTCACAGCTGACTTATGGTGACCCTATAGAGTTGTCAAGGCAAGAGACATTCAGAGGTGGTCTGCCATTGCCTGCCTCTGTGTAGTGACCCTGGTATTCCTTGGAGGTCTCCCATCCAAATACCAGCCAACCCTGCTTAACTTCCGAGATCTGACGAGATTTGGCTAGCATGAGCTATCCAGGTCAGGTCAGTTTGCTAATTCTGGTGAGGTTAATATTGCCCCACCAAAAAGGAACCCAGTCTAGGATGGCCCGTCCAAGCCATCTTCTCAGCTCTTGGAAGCTAAGCAGGGTGGGCCCTGTTTTGTAATTGGATGGGGGACTGCCAAAGAAATCTGGGATTGCTATGTAGAGGCATGCAATGGCAAGCCACCTCTGTTCGTTTCTTGAGGTCCCTACAGGGTTGCCATAGATTGGCTGGAACTTGACAGCATTCTACACAAAGACCGAAAAAGAAGGAACAAAGATGCTCTTGCTGTAGAGGGCTGCGGAAGCATCAGCGAGCAGAGTGAAGTTGGGTGGATGGAGATGGCATTCATGTGCCCCATTCTTGTAGTGCTCTCTCCTGTCCTTGCCCCACTCCAAGGGCCAGCGATCATGCTGGAGTCCCTCATGACCTGGCAGCCATGGGCTCCCTTTTCATTCATGGCTGATCTGCGGCTGAAGGGCCACTGCAGTTCAGATATGAATGGCGGAGGGAGCCCATTAAGAGTCTTAAAAGGGAGGTAATGCAGAGCTGAGCTTTATCATTTTGAAGGTGGAGCTCAGCTGCACCCTCTTGCCAGATTGGCTGCTGGAGAAGCATCCTCACAGACGTTCCACCCACAGCCACCCCTCACTCCCTCTTTTGAGTTGGATCAAAGGATGTTTTCCTTGGGTTTGATTCGATGGAGAAAGCCCCAGGTACCCCACGAACTGAGCTCAAAAAGAGGACAATGGCTTCTGGAAGTTCACAAAAATGTGGGGCCATTCAGCTGTCCACGTGGGGGAAGATCTGTGTGTGGGAGCAGCCCAAGAGTTGGCAAACTGTGGCCCTTCATGGCCTGCCATAATAAAATCCAGCTTCCAAGTGAAATGGTGGAAGGAGGGTTGGAATTGTTGTCGCAGTTTAAAATAAGGATGAGAGAGAGTGTGTTCTAAGGTTTCTAACCTTTAAGTAAGATGTCGCACTACTCCAAGGACACCAACAACAACTGGCACGATGGTAGCCTTCTTCTCCCAAAGGTGCTCTATTTGTAGGTCTTCATATTTTGTGATCTTCTCCTGTCCTTTCTTTTCTATTCTGCTGTCTCCTGGGATTGCAGTGTCAATGATCCAAACCCTATTTCTCTCTTCCCCCCCCCCCTACAATTGTTATATCAGGGGTGTTATGCTCTAGGTGTTTATCAGTTTGCCACCGGAAGTCCCAAAGAATGTTTCATCATTCTCCATGATCTTGTCATGTCCTCCCATGAATTTCTGACTCACAGTAAGCCATTCTTCTTGATAAGATTCTAGTGCAACATAATGTTCTTTATAGTCAGTTAGAGCAGTTTTACTGCAGGCACTGACCATGTGGTAAACTGTTTCATCCTTTGTCTTGCAAAGTCAACATTTGCTGTCATCACTGGTCTTCTGAATCTTGGCGCTTACACTATTTGTTCCGAGGGCCTACTTGTGTGCAGCTCGAATGAGTCCTTCCATTTCTTTCGTCATGTGCCCGTTTTGGAGCCACTTCCAGGCATTTTCATTATCAGCTTCATCCTC